GGTTCGGAGGGGAACACGATCACCGCTTTTTCAGCGAATTTAAATATATTTTAAACGGCGTATTGTATTCCAGCAATTTATAAATCAATAACGAACAATGGCTGTCCATAAAGATATCGAGAGGGACTATATATTTTTGCAGTTGATTAAAGAAAACGAAATACGTATACATCCAGTATGTGTAAAGGGGTGTACAAAAGAAAGTAAGTAGCGGTCTGTGCACATCATTATGAATGAACCCGGAGTTACTGTAATTACAGAATTTTAATTGGACTCTCGCAACTGCGAAAGTTGTAGGGTGGCAAACTCTGCTCTACGTAAATCAATTTCATTAAAATATATTCCCAATTACATAAAAATATTACTTGAATATCTCGGCGAGTTTTTTTAATACGAGGATCTCGTCCAAGTTGGATAGTTTTAACCGTTCCATCTGCGTTTCAGAATACATATCGTGTCGTTGAAAAGCAAATAGAAACTGGGGGGCCACTGTTGGGAAATTTTATTTCGAAAATGAATTGCGCACGCGGAAAAAGTCTAGTACTTTTTAAATATTCAAAAAGATGGATACTCGGGTGTTTAAAAACTTAATTATTCATGAATTGGAGTACTCGACGATTCAGAATTCATGCGAATATTTTTACAGAATCGAAGCTCATAATAAGACTCGTACACGCATTATCTAAAATTATAATATTCGAAGGATTTCAAAATTATGTATCGAAATATTCGAAGGATTTCAAAATTATGTAGAAATTAAATCGTCTGATAATGAAAATTCAAAAAGACTTGTATATACTTAAAAATTTCTATATAATATTTCGAATGACAATTGAATCTCGTGTAAATTTTAAAAAATTTTTTACAGAGTCGAAGCTCATAATAAGACTCGTACACGCATCTAATATTTCGAATGACAATTGAATCTCGTGTAAATTTTAAAAAATTTTTTACAGAGTCGAAGCTCACGCATAATAATCTAATATTTCGAATGATAATTGAATCTCGTGTAAATTTTAAAAAATTTTTTACAGAAGCTCACGCATAATAATCTAATATTTCGAATGACAATTGAATTTCGTGTAAATTTTAAAAAATTGAAATATTCGAAGGATTTCAAAATTATGTAGAAATTAAGTCGTCTGATAATGAAAATTCAAAAAGACTTGTATATACTTAAAAATTTCTATATAAAATCCCCCAAGCATATACATATATTCAAATTTCCAGATGTCAAAGAGATACATCTTAATAAAAATTTAGACGAGTTGAAAGAGTTTGGCTCTACAATTGAAGATACTTAAAGATTCTAAGAACGTAAGAAAGTTTCTGAAAAATTAGTTGGGAAACAATGCAACAATCATTATAAATACGAATTTCACCAGGAGGATAGATGACTGTTAAGGATAACGTTGCAAAGCCGGAGGCAATTTCGACGTGCAATTTCACTTATGCGAGTTGAAAAGATCAGCTTCGGATGAGTCACGACGCACGCATCGTCGTGAAACTGCGATATTAAGAACGGTTAAGTAGGTAGTTCGGTATTCAGCATCGCGAAGAGAAAGGATGCAATTAAGTATGCCTATATCTCCCTAAAGTGAAAGCCAGCCAAGCGAATAAAGATGCGGAGAGATGTGCTCACCCTTGGAAGAGAGGCTTAATGCCTCTTTCGCACGGGTGCGAATCGGGTCATTGAATCGAAGCATTGTGAAAGTTTCGTGAAAATGTTCTCGGTCGGTAATTGATTTTGAACGCGGCCCAGCCATCGATCATTTATGAGCGAGCGGAAGAGAATTATTTCTAAATTGCAACAAAAAAAAATTGGGAAAAGATTTTTCATCTTCGATCAACTTTAAATCATTTTTTTAAGGAAAAATTGTCACAAAATCGGCACGATTGATATATCGATATATCGACCTTGCATTACGCGATAATTACACGCTACTGAATACTCTTTAGGATATGATCACGATCACTTGCAATTATGCATTGGTCCGCTGTATTAATTAATCATTAAACATATATGGTGTATAATAACGAATATAATTTTGCTCGATATTGGTATAACTAGGGATAATTACGTGTAGCTTAAAGCGAAGCTTGTTAGTAATGATTAATTATTCGTTCTGATAATATCATGTTAAAAGTGAAAAATCTTGTGTATACATTCCAATTCTAATTCTATTGTATTCATAAATGGTAATATTTTGTGAACGAGGCTTAATTCTAAATAGGCATGAAATTTCAATGAAAACGTTAAAAAGATGATGAGCATCGAACAAGAATATGAAATTTAAATGAAATATACCGCGAATTAAAAAATAATGTACATTAAACAAGAGAATAACAAATTATAATAATAATAATAATAATAATCATGGGTCATTAATATAAATTACGTAAATTATCCTTTAAGACGAGTTACGTGCGAATTGGCATAGAATTGAATTGTCTCTAATGTCGATGCAATTTTCCTTTTGCATTTTTTCCTGCAAAGATATCATCAATAGAAGAATAGACTAATAATAGGAGAATAGATTACGACAATCTTTCAGCTCGGTGCATCGTCGTTGTAAAGTCTTTGTTAACATCTCAACCTTGGCGACTTTCACGTACACGCAGCACATTGCCCAATCTATTAATTCGACCCTGACGAATACTACCAGTTCGAGATAGGAACACAAAACTTGTTTTCCAATGTCGTTGCATAATCGTTGCAAGGAAACCGTTCGTTCCACGATTATTCCTGATATAAATCGTAAAATAAAACTCTCAACAATTTCCCGCATAATAATCATCTGAACTCGATTTACAATATCTATACAAATATTAGCATAGTTTGCTTTATGCATCGCGATGTTATTCCGCGATGGATTAACTTTTTCGTTTCGAGTTCAATTTCAGACGATTATAATTTTCTCAAAATCTGATACGAGTACCTCGAATTAACGAATTTTAAAAACATTCGAGTTTTTCGTCCATAAGATAGTGGTATGGAAATGAGGCACAGAGAGGCCGTGTTTTTTTCTTTTTTGTACAATTGCAAATCGAATTGTCAACAGTATAAAAACTCTTGTTTCACGAAGACACAATTTCCCATAGCGTGATTATCAATTGAATTTACATGCAGTCTCATTGGAATGCGAATGTTTCACGTATTTTCCCTCTATTCACGTTTACGGTTTGTTTCCATGTAATCGTTTTATTGAATTCGGTGTCAAGGGTATGAAAAGCATTGTGTGGTAGAGCCATCATTTATTAATCAAACGTAGACATTCGTTTAACACTTTAAAACGCATTTCCCCTATTGATTTATCAAAATAAAAAAAGAAACAATTGAAAAGAGATTCAAAGAAATCATGTAAGGACAAGAGTACTTAAGAATTATTCTAATATAAAATTTCAGGAAAAGGAAAAACTTACTCTTTAATTATAGAAAGACTGAAAATTTTATATCTTCGCTGTTCATTTTACAAATAATTCGTATAAATTGGACGAGATTTCAAAAATGAAAAATTAAGCTTTCTAATTAATCCAAGAGATTGAAGCCGCTGTTTCCTGGGATATACATAGCTTTGTCCTGCGGCTTTTGACGTCACATAAAGCACACAGCAGTTAGAGAGTAATTTAAGCTCGTGGCAACTGTTACAGAATAAAATTAAGAAATTCTTCAAAAGAGAAAAGTAGAAATTAAATTCTAGTAAGTCAACGTAAACTTAAGAATTTTAAAAATGATATTTTTTACCGTAAGAAATCGCAGAATGTCAAACAGAGAGAAACGAAATGAAAAATTGCGGAAGCGTTTGCCTCAATAGAGATCGAGAAAAGAATGCAATCCGACGAGTCACTCAATAATGATAGTCTGAAAAAAAAAACGTATGAGCAATTTGAATCGTTCTCAGTGAAACGCAATCAAATTCAAACAAAACTGGAACGAAATCAAAATAATCTTTTATTCTACAGCTTTGCAGCTTATGTCTATCGTCTCAAACGATTCATTCGACAACTTTTCACTTCAAACAGAACACAATTCTTAGTAACATATACAACGTAACGTATACAACGTTAAATTATTCTCTATAATTATTTGAGAAAATGGTTCAACAATGGCAACAAGTGTTAAAAATTTTCCAACAAGAATTAGCTAAACAGAAATTAATATATTCGTTATTCTAAGAAATATCTGGTTTGCTTATCTAATATTCGATATTTTTTTCATTATTCTCTACTGTCCAGTTCAATCAGTCAATCAAAAGACCACGCATGCGTGTTAATAGTTCGAAATTTTCCAACGTACAAAAATAATCTTCAAATTCCGTATAAAATTATGATATGAAAAAATTACACTTTAATTAAGCAATATTTTTTCTTGGAAAGATGAATCAAATCAATCATTTCATATTTATTAACTAACTTGAATCAGAAAATACCTCAACAAATGTCTGTTTCGAATTATGCTGACTTGTCTCGAATAACCGCCATAAAAATGTCGAAAGAATCATTAACCAAACCAGCAAATTATCTCATTTCGTAAATACCTGATATGACAGAAAGGAACAAGTCTTGAACAGGACATACGAACATGTAGATAACCTCGTCCTATTAAATCGATCCAATACGAAACCCAACCTCAATGCGATCTGCGAGAGAAGGTGAATTGACAGCAAGAATACAAAGCCGCATTTTCGTAGAAAGTAAGAAAAGTGAACGCTCACGTGTCGGAAATACCGGACTGGAAACGGCATCCACGATGTTCAATATGTTCTTGATTAATCCAGCTTGACACAAATTTCGTATTTCTCGATAGAAACGAATCAACTTGTTAAAAATCGATCGCGATTAATTTTTCGATACAAAAAACTAGCGATCGAATACGCGCATACGATCATACGTCCGTAAGTATCGCGCGACTCCTTCTTTCTCAGTCTTTCTCATGCGAGTTGTCGTTCGGTAATATTCGGCTGTATTCGGCTTACTTCGGCCAAATCGTCGCGCTTGGATCCCGTAGAAAGGAGAAGTTTCACCATGTGCAACATGTCACTGCACTAGTAAAATCTTGTCGATTTTCTCCCTGTGAATTTTCATCGGTTATACGAAATCGTAGTCCATAGAATGGACATTGCAATCAATTCCGGTTGAACGTTTCACGGATCATTGTTCCATTTCGCAACGAGTACGTTTGTCCATGCGGTTACATGCATTGTTGTTACATTTCTGCCAATAGAAGAAGCCTGTTTTCATGAAGTAGATATCAACTACACACAAAACAATATGGTGACAATGTGGTGAAATAAATACTGGCAAAACGCGCAATTAAAATGTATAATGAAACGTTAAATCGCACGAGAATTGCAGTTCTAGTAAGTGAGTTACATCGTAAGTAGAATTTTAATTTTGAACGTAGATTAAAGAAATATGTGAATCCTTCCTATTAGAAAAAAAATGTAGCGATGTTGTAATTTTCTCTTTGAAGAGCAACGTGAAATAAAAACAATAAATCTCATTGTGAATATGATCTTTATAAAAAAATTAAAATTACATTTTAATTTTATGCAAATGGGCATCTTATTCGAACTTCTCAGTTTTAATTTTACGATCTTATCACGTTGCAACTGTCTAAGAGAATAAATTCTGTTGCGTAATTAATATTCTAGAGCAATTCAGACAGCTGTTTATTCTTTTGTTACAAAGTTTTCCATCTCGAGAATAAGAATTCAAATATAAGATAACAGAATTATTCTATCAGACGTTTCGCAATATATGTATTGACTTTGTACCATTTGCGTTCACATCGACAAAACAGTTGACTCGAAAACGCAGTTTTACGAATCAACATGACGCGTTTTTCTCTTTTTATTTGATATATCGCACATATATCAATGTGAAAAATTCGCAATGCACGCGCAGTCAAGTATTTTTCACGAGACATTTTATCATTGCGACACCTCTTTTTGAGAAAATTACGCATGCAAATGGCGAAAAAAAAATATAAAAAAGAGAACTAGAAACCTTTCAGTAACTTATGGAAATATTTCTATAGACTAAAAAAAAAAGTGAAAAGTGCTACATGATTGCCACTTGTCAGCATTTCACAGAAATAAATGTTTCAAACGAAACTCATACGATTTCGACGATTTACAATGTGACTGGTTACAACAAAATTGTTGTTGCTTTCATCGTAATGGATGTGTTCAAAAATTTTATGAATGACAGCGTTTTTACCGATAAATTCAACAACTATTAACAATCGCTTCTACGCAAATTATACTTATAAATTTTATACGCGTTATTTTATACATATTAAAACTAACGTTTTACAATTGCAAAATTCTATATACATATTATTAAAAACATATTATTAAAAATAACCAATTGTGAAATCTTATCGAAACATCGCATATCGCATATTTCAAGATGCACTTTTATTTATTTTTTTCATAACTTTAACAATAAAAGAGAAAATACTGTTCTTGCATTATTGTTTAATAATTATGCAAGAATTTTTAATTAAAATTCTTTGAACATATTTCTGAAACAAAATTATTATAAAAATACAAAGCTTTCAAAGCTGGTAACATTGTTGCATGTGTTATTTAAAATCAATAATTTTTTTCTTTTCAAATAACAAAACATGAGTTTTATAATCGAATCGAATCGAGATGAAATGAAGGGAAATAAAAAAGAATCGTGCGAGAAGAATGTTTTTGTAGAGGCAAATATTTTTATAAATCGAAACCTCATAAAAACCTCATTTGTGAAATCGAATAAGTCGAATCGATACGATTCGAACATTCGACAACAACGATCGATTTCGAACATTTCTCAATCGTCTTAAAATGCAAAACAGACATTATTTTCTTGAAAGATAATGCATATGAGAAAAACGATATTTAAAAGCTGACGCCATCATTAATTAATTTAATGCACAATTTTTTTCAAACATTCGTTAGTTGGTTAGAATTCATTAATTAACTTTTTTATATTTATTTCTCTCTTTTCCGTTTGCTAATTAAACAAGTTATCGACGTTAAAATTTTCAACAAGAACGAAAGAGAAAACGTATATATATTCGTAACCATGTTCGAAGCATAGAAAATACTCGAATAGCTTTTCGTTTGATTTTATTCATTCCGATTTCCAACCGCGTATAGTTACGAACCGCTTCTGTGTACGAATATTCGACGAAAGAATAATTTTCCTTCCAACCTGATTCAACATAATTTTTTTTACAATCATGAATCTGTACGCTTCCGACGAAAAATACATGGATAGTATAAAATCGATCGATTAGTTGCAACGAATGAAATTTTATACGCGAACGGAAAAACCGTAAAATTTTAACCGGGCTTTTTATTTGAATTTCAAATTTGAACTTTCGAAGTTGAGTTGTTTTTTTTATCTAAATTTTAAATTTAATCACTTTTAAAAATTAAATGTTCGAATTTTTTTAAATCTGATTAACAACACGAGTAGGTATAAAATGATTTTTTAATTAAAATCTTTTTAAAACGGATGTCACAGCACGTAGATTGGTTTTCATGAGATTGTTTATGCTAAATTGCTTCTATTCGCGGCGGATTACAGTATTGCTGAACGGCTGCTTCAAGTTTGTTGTCCCGTTTCAATTTCATTCGTTTACACTCGAATCGTTCAATCATGTTATCATCTCGATTCGATCCGATTTTATGCAAACGAGTTTCTACGCGACGATTTAACTGAATCGAACTCGATCGATAAAGGAAGATCGAAATCGAAATACTACTTTACGAACAATGATGTAAAAAAGAAACACTTAATTTCCACTTAAATAACGAGAATAATCGACAATTAATTCGAGTCTCGAGACAAAATATTTTTATCAAACGAGAAACTTTGAAAAAAGGAACGAAAAAGGCAACGTTTAAGGGAATATAGACAGTCTATGATCGAACATGTGTCCTAATCGATATCAAAAAGATTCGAATAATTTTCTGCAATTTTCGACAAATATTTTATTTCTTCGTTATCAAAAAATTTCACCAATACGATTCTACAAAATAAAAATTAATTGTCCAAAAAATACACAGCATATATGATCAAATCAGAGCAATATGAATATTCCATCTTCAACATCGAATTATAAAATTTTTCAACTTTTCAAACGAATAATCACATTTGATAATCTGTTCAAAATCCCTTTTTTCATTTCATTCAAGGGTCACTAATTACTTACAAGATTAATTTTCAACCAAGTTCGCCACGGATATTATGAGATTAAGTCTCTTTTTTAAGTCATGTTGCAACCAGGAAGCCATTTTTCTTCGAAGCTCTTGGCTAAGCAAAAAAAAAAAAGGAAGCAGCAACGGGCCTGCTAGAATTTATCGTGTTCTCCAACCTTGAAAACGACAATACGACTTCAAATCGCAGTTTATTTTCCCCTCTATGCCATTAATCCCTCATGCCGCACAATCTCGTGCTTCGCCATTGACGTCCACGTCTGCGTATAGCTCGATACTTCTCCTTTGCGATCACAATCCAATTCCTTTCTTCTTCATCACCTTTTCTACCTTTTTCTCCGTCCAAACTCTGGCGTTCCAGTTTGGAACCCGTTTCACTTTCACAAGTTGGACGGAAAGTTTTTTTATTACGTTCAAATTGCCCGATTGCTCTATGAGAAGTTAAATGAGGGCCCCCAGGGCGAAGTAACCCCCGAGTTTTATGATCCGGCTTCCTCGAAAAACGCTGAGTCTAAATCTTTGAAGGCAATGTGTATCGTGAAGACTATGGTTATCTCGGTTATAACTTTAAACGAGGAAAAGAAAAGAGATGGGAAGATATTCCGATAGATAGGATAAGATACAAATTATCTAATTTCGTTAAACATGATTTGATTTTTTTATTATGGAAAAAAAAGAGGAAATGTAAAAAATAAATCCTTATTCATTATGGATTATAAATTTTATAGATTTCTAGAAATGAAAATCTTTTCTTGAACGCTCTATTTTCTCTTTTTAATTTTAAAGATAATTGGCTAGATTTGATAAGATTTATATATGTAATAATCTTCTAATAATCTAAGAAAGATTTCAAGATAATAAAATAAAAAATTTTCATTTATGAATCTTGTGATAATTTTTTTGAAAATAAATCTCTGAATTCATTGTAAATGAATACAATAGATATATCTATAAATGAATAATTTTAATTTATCATCAATTTTAAGTTTCATCGATCATTTGCAATTCTTTATAGAAAGCAGTGTCTTATAAATGATTTTTTATTTTACTTATATTTTTTTTTATCATAAAAAAAGCGACGAGAACTTTCTTGGTTGTCTAATAAAATAGGAAAATATTACAAATTCTTTCAATCGCAAGAGAATAAAACGAACGACTTCTAACTGAAAAACTCAAAGAAATGAAAAGAATAATCATGCAAAAGAATGTCAGAGAAATAATACATGATTAGAATGGCGGAGAGAATATTACGTGGTTAGATAACGTATGAGACAAGATAGTACAAAGAATAAACCATCAAAAAAAACGCAATAAAAGATTCATTTCGAAAAGAGAAGATAATCCAAAGTTGGAATAAATATGTGCCAGTCAAGAATAAAGAATATAAATAATCAAGTATCAGCGACTGCATATAACTTCATTTCATTCCTTTCTTCTTTATCTCGTATTGACTCGTATTGTGAATTGGATATAGAATTAGGTCAGTTATATAAAGGATGAGTGCAAATATATTTTTTTACTCATCGGTTTCCAATATTATACGAATCAATTTAAGGCTAAAATAATCGTCTCTTCATCATCCATATGATTACTATGCTCATCTTATGAGTAAATTTTCTCTTTGTGATTGTTTTTTCGTTACGATAATTGTTTGTACAAGTTTCTTTTAGATTTTCTATTTAATTTAATTATAGATAAAAATATTTAAAAAAGAAGAAACTAAACTAAAATATTCAATAAAAGTTGAACTATATATAGTTCAATTTATCATTTGATTATCAGAAGAGCGAATTAATCAAAAAGAATTAAGCAAAAATTTATCACGAAACCATTTCGTAAATTTCACGAAAGATTCATATATAAATGAAAATTTCAAAACATAAAAAAAAAAATAAAAAGACAATAAGTTTCATTTATACGTCTATATTTGAAAAATAAAGCAAAACTCGATAAGATAAGAAAATCGAAACATATTTTATATTAAACTTCATCGCTAGAAATATAATAATTTTCGATAACAAGTTCTTCATTCCGTAGATTCCTATCAACATATCGCTCGCTCGTTCTTTTTTCCTCCCTGATAATGGTTCGTTCAGGAATTACTTGGCCGATGTTCCAACAACAAAAGTGATTCGACCGGATTATTACAAGAAAGTGTAGCAAATGCGTAATTCGATGGAATACATCGAATAACTCGGAATTACATTGTGGTTGGACAGAGATCATCGTGGAAAGGAGGGTTGAAACCACGTAGTGGACGAGAGAAGGAACGGTCGCGACGCGTTGGCGAGAAGAAAACAGCTGGATCGCCATTCGTTTTCGCGGTTATTGTAGACAGACCCGGTTCACAATATACATACACTTTGTTATCAATGTACGTGTAAGCGCGTACCTACGAATTCCTTCCGGAGCCATGCTCGTTCCACTAAATACGCGAGATCCAATTTGGACGAATCCCAAAATTCGAAGAAATAGTACCACGCATATATGCCCGCATATACATACATGTATGTACATAACATACAGAATTGTATCTCTATTCAATATCAAGTTGATCTTAAAAATAAAATTTAGAAAAAAATATCTTGTATTAAAGGATTTTAAATTTGAAGATTATTGATGTGACGTAAAAAATAATTTTTCTTTATTTTTTTATCTCTAACTTTTTACATTTACATAATACTTTATATAATACTTTATATAAGATAAGTAAGAAGATTACTCTAGTAGATATGCATATCGAATTTTATATATATTCCAGGCATTCAATTTCAACCAAAAACTTTCCAGCAAATGTTATTGGTACCTTCGACTTCATTCTCTATTATTTCTATACTTCTACTTTGATGAGATTTGCCTTCCGTGAAATCTCTTTTTCGAGACAAAAACATTCGTTCTGAACTTATTAGATCCAATACAAAGATAAGATTATTGTATCTAACAAGTGTAAATGTTTCTGTTAATCGTCCTCTAACTGGAAATTCACGATTCAACCTGGTATTTCAATTATTTTACCGATAAGACGATCCAGTAAGAGTAGATTGTATCTCTTTTCAACTCAATCCAGGTCTCAACTAAACCAGATACATAGGCAAGCAACAAGAGTCAACTCGTGAAACTACACAAGACGTTAAACTCAAGGAAGATGAAAGTACGAAGTCTGCTTGTGACGCGAGTTAACTTCAAACGTTCGAAACGACAAGATTTCAACTCGGTCGGTTGATGACAGCTTTGTTACCGACTGTACCATACTGGTTCCATACATATGCAAAAACATTCGGTACTTACCTCCTTGCGAAGATGGTACATCGCTGAAAATCAATTTAAGAGAAATTCATAAAATATAATTTCTCTCAAGCTTTTACAAATTACAAAAGTCAAAGATATTGCTTTAGTAAGTACTTATCATTGATATATTTCAGATACGAAACAGTTACAAGATAAAGAAAATAAAAGATTCGAGAAAAAACTGGAAAAGAAATAATCTAACCAATATTCCAATATAACGAGAGAACAAACATAAGTGGAATAACTCGGAAGTTAAGATAAACAGAATTTATAATGGAAATTTCTTTTCATAATCGGTCGAGTTTTACGAAACTTCCTACGTATTTTAATCCTGGATCCTGAAACGAGTTATGGTTAACCCGGTTGCTGCTGAATTAACCAGAAAATAAGACCAAACATCGAAATTTCGCAAGTTTTTAAATTATAATTCTTATTGCGTAGTGTGTAGCAATTAACGTTTCTATTCTTCTAATATTTCTTTTTCAATTAAATTATCTTTAATATTCTTTAATTTAATTTAAAAAATAGAAGAAAAAAGTAAAAACAACTAAAATTAACTTTTTATTTATCTTTTAAATATTATATATAATAATGGATTGTACAAATTAAAGTGAATTTGAAGTCGAAATACAAAATTAAATGAATATTATTATTAAATAAAAATAAATTAATATTTATTTTCAAAAAACATTCTGGTAAGTGATTTTTTCCAATATTAAATTATCTCTTATCTATAGTTTTAAATTACTAAAAAAATATTTTTAAATTTTTCCAAGGTTTCTATGTTTCGAGTACATGACATATTTCTAAAAAACAAGATTAGAAGAAGTGATGAACAATGCAAACAATGAACAAATAATTATTTCCAAAATGAATTGAGAAAGAATTAAAGTTCTCAGTTTAGGAGACCACTGGAAATTAGCTAACTTTTCCGACGGTTTCTCCAGGATAAACTAATTTCGAGCACCAGAAACGAATCGCTGTTCATCATAATGCGAACTCTGCGACATTCACCAGTCGAAACACGAATCCGGACGGTCTGTCCAGCTGTTTAACGGTAAACAAGCCGATTTAGCTTGACCCAACCTATCCTACAAATCCTTATTAGAGCGACACTTGGCTAATTGCGTACTAGTTCTATTGTGCAAGAGAGCACACACTGCGAAGTGCTCTCGAACTGTTACGAGGTTTAGATAAAGCGATAATGAATGGCTCGAAATACTGTTTGTCCCCTAATGAAAACTCCTGTTGTTGGAAAACTGGGCCGTTACGTTCTCTCATAATTATAATTACGTGTTTCCAGATTCGTTTTAAGTTTCGACAATCGAATCGCTCTGTGCTCATTTTTAATTAATCCGAAAATATCATTAATGATATCATTAATCATTTCGTTTCCTTAGCATTTCTAATGTTACATTCTTTGTCCTTGGTAAAACGTGAATTCTTAAGATTCTCGGATAGAATGTAGAAATTCTTAGAATTTCCCGGTTTTTGTATTTCGAATATATTTGATAAATATTTATTATTTTAAAAAATATCAATTTTATCAATATATAAATTTGTTAAAACAATATTTATTATTTTTTTAGTTAATACGTATTAATATAAAAATATATTAAACACATGTTTGCAACAGATCAACAACAAGATACTAATTTATGATACACTGATCTCATGTTTTCGCCATGAAATTTCCCACGTTACATTTATAGTTCAAAAGCGTTTATATTGAAATGATGCATACATATGTGCACATATTAAACGTGTTCATAAATATATGTATATGTATAAATATGAGTACATATGTTAACGTATTCATGAAACACTTTTAAAGGGCTAATTCTAAAAATCAAAATAAATGTAAAAATTAATATATAAAAACATCATAATTATTTATTAATTATAAGCTTATTTATTAAATTATAAGCAATTAAAATTTCTGTAAATGAAGCGAGTATAAATAATTTCATTCCGTATTCATACGATGCACAACTAAATTGCTTATAACTTAAATAAACCTTAAATGACGTTTTTATATACTAATTTTTACATTTGTTTTAGCTTTTAACACTTTGGATATACGTATTTATTATCAGTTATATTCCTATGTCATCAATTTTCACGTCGACAAATGTGTTTTATAATTTAACTTTATCTTATGTCATCTCATCACTGTCGTTCTTTGATTTTGATTTTTATTTGATGCTTTTGTTTGATCCTAGGATATTCTTCGTTTCTTTCTGTCTCCCTATTTTTTTCTTTTCTTTTTTTTTTTTAGCATATTGTTCCTTTAATTCCACAAATTTCTTTTTTATCGAAATTGCAATTGCATTTTTTATTCTTGTAAATTCCCTCTTTGAAATCCTTTTTTCGTTTCTATCTTATATTATTGTAATATCTATTGTACTATTTTTACATAGTATTTTTTAATTTCCAACACTTTTTTGGCATTCTTTGTTTTATTTTTCTCATATTTTTTTTTCCTTGAAAAATTACTAATTTTTCCTCCAATATCACATTTTATTCCCTGCATTGTGGAAATTTTTCTAATTCCAATTCCATTATTCCAAAGCAGCATATCTCCAGCATACCAAGCTACTTGCCCGTGAAAGATTATTTCCCAACAATGATGGACACAGAAATTGGAACTGGAAGAGAATCCTCAGAAACATCTACAATGGTTTAGATAGTCGCCAGAAACGATTTTGGAGAAAGTGACCAGTAGTGACCACTGACTAGCCACAAAGTTCACATGCTGTCCACAAGAAATAGTCGGACTCGAGGGACAATTGATGGTGTAAGCCAACTTCCAAAACTTCAATACTCATAAAAACCGAAAACGTAGAAACAAAATTCAAACTTTTGTGAAAAATACAGGTTCTTTCGAGAATGATGCGATGAAGTTTAAATGGATACCCATGTATTGCAATATATATAAATTTTAATAAAACGTACAAGAATTAATAATAGTAATACATAATACATATTGATTTTATAAATCAGAAGATATATAGATTGATTTTATAGATTAGACTAAAATGTGATTAAAAATTTATCCAAAAGAATTGAAGGATATCGTCGAAGGAAGCAATACAATGGTTAAATAATCAAAATTTAAAATTTAAAAATTAATCTTTAATTTCATTCATATTACACATTGAAAACAAATGAAATGTTATACTCGGCTTCAGCATTATTTACAATATTTGTTACATTATTTATTTAATTATTTATTCAAAAATGCATTAAAAATATCTTAATTCGACATACATGTTAAAAACAAACAAAATATGGTGTATGACTCTATACATTGTAATATTAATTTCACAGAAATCAAATTATTTTTCTTTTAAATAATTGTTTATTTGTAACTTGATTCATAATTTTTCTGACTAAATTTTTTAAAATATTGCTTAATAAATACACAAATGCAAAGAATACTTTATATAAAAAAAGAATGTAGTGATTCACGAAGTTTAAGCAACCTCCTTGAATGAATAATAAATGAGCGAGGGAAAAATGTTAATGACCCAAACTCGATTCTCCAGTTAAATTCAGGAGAATCCATTAGTAATTGTAACAATTCTAAATTCTAAAGAAGAAAGAAGATGCTATTGAATAAAATAACATGAAACAAAGAAGAGGAATCCGATAAACGAATAAATCACTAATTCTTTGATATTTAAAAATTCAATGAAAGTATCTCAAGGTTATCCGGCCTTTAATCTATCAGATAAGACAAAAATCCGGATGATCGGTATTCAGATAAACGCATACCCACGTTGGAGAATTACTAAAGTCATTTTCTCAATTTAATAACGCCATAAGTTCAGGGTAAAAGTGTGTATAACGATCTGTGTAATATCATTGAAATTGTTAAGAGACACTTCGGCCTTCCGTTTAAAACCGTTCATCCCCGTCCAAGATTAAAGCACCACCCTCCATCCTCCATAAATTCTTAAATGAAAACGCTGGTTCCCGTTATCGTGCAATAAGCGCGACATTATTTTTTTTTTTTTAACTTCGTTAATTGAAACATTGAAATGATACAAATTGTAAAAAAGTCACTATTTTTTAATTATCTCTTTTTATATTTTAAATAAAATTTATTTGTTTATTAACGTCACATTAACCTGAATAATTCTGAAATCAAATATTTGTGAATAAAATCAAGTTATAAAATAACAATCATAAATAGATAAAATATTTAAAAATATTACAATTAATTTCATAAATAAATTTATAAATTATTTATTATACTTGAATTAAACTTAAATTATTATTTATTTATAAACAAAAATTGATAGAATTCAATTCTTTCTTGTTTACAGGATAACAATAGTTATAAATTCCATGATAAATGAAACGGTACCATCTTCGTTCTTTTAATTATTCAATTTGAATCTTTTCAAAGTATGAGAAAAAAGATCGTATGAGGAAAGCTTTTAAAACCAGAGACTTTAAGGGAAAAGAAAAGATGTACAGGAGATCCAGATAGGAAGGCTAAGGAAACGAGAATTCACTGATAAGGAGACACAGAGGACTAAGGAGAGATTCAGAGGAAGAAACACTGTGAAAAAGTAGATAGACAAAAGAAGAAAGAAATGCATAAAAGAGAAAAACTGAAAGAAGGAAGACTTTCAGAATCTATAAGCGGAAACTTAGTGAAGGAATGATGCGTGAAAAGAAAAAAATTTCTCTAAAAATCTATAAATAAAGATAAAGGATAATGCATGAAGAAAGGAAAAATTAAGAAAATATTAAACGTGACAGAAATTAAACGTAATATAAAAAATAATACATAATACATAATAAAAATAATACATAATATAATACATAATATAAAAAATAAAAGGTAGAGAAAATATATAATTGCATAAGTTGTCATAATCTAACTCTATCGGGCATCTTGCGTAAAGTGAAATTATCTTTTACTTACGCTTATGTTAGGTCCGCCTTCCGTCATCGTTGCCGTGTTTCTTTTATGTTTTTCTTACTGATAGAAGCACACTCACTTTTTTTCTTGCACATTGCAGTTCACACTTTCGTTTTTGTTTTCACTTTCCTACTTTTCTCTCATTTCCTTTAATTATCGAATAACCCGTGTTAATAACATCTTCGAGAATGGTACTGGTTTTACTTAATAACATTCTCGAATATTACGAAGAATGGACTTTACGACAATTATATTTGTGAACATACGAAATTATCGATCATTAAAATTTATTTGACTTGATAACGATATTTGATTATTATTAACGATTATTATTAATGATTGTTATTATTCTATGATAAATGTTTAATCATAGAAAATCGAATTACTTCTATATTTTTACAAAAAATTTAATATGATTTTTTTGGTAATAAATATTCTCTGTATAAAATTATTTTTACGATCTTGGTCAGATTTGATTTTCTTAAACTCCTTATCATAAATTTTCGTTTGCCTAGAGATTATTTTAAAAAAAGGAAAGTTAGGTATAATAAATATAATAAAATATAATTTGAAATAAATTATTTCAATCACAGAACTTTTGAATCATATTTTTTTGAGGCATATTCTTTGTGTATTCTTTAAACTTTGAAATAATTTTTTAAGGTAACACAAATATAAAAATTATTTACGTTAAAACTTCAATATTTTTAACAAATATTTACCAATTCTTTTAAAAAAAAAATTTGATGTTATTCTACATATTTTCATTTTCTATTTCTATTTTGTATTTTATTTTATATTTCAATTTCGCTTGATAAAATTTTATAAGATATATTATTAAAAAAAAATTTTCATATAGATTATATCTCGTATGCAATTTTTTTTTATTTAAAGTACTATTTTCATTGTCTGCATATTTTTTTATTTTCTGCTTTATATAGCAGATTAAATTACAATATTTTTAATTCCTAATTGTAATTCTATATAATTTTCAGATAAATCGAATTGTATTGGCAACAATGAAAATGAAATTCTCGTCACATTTTAACAATTTTTAGCTGTTAAAAATAATTTGTTTAATAATTCGTTAAGATGATAATTTGATGAAAGAGTTATAAAATGCTTTATTTTTAACTTTTATCAACAAAAATATCATTCAGATAAATTTGTTTGTTCCTTTTGTTATCTATAATTGGAAAGCATGAAATGAAGATTCATTTTCGAAATCAATTCATTATTTCTTAATTCTCTTTCAAATTTTTCCTATGAAAATCCTTTGTATCTATATATATTTAAATTTGTTTGAGTCTCTGAAAAAAACATTAAGAAAATAAGCAGATTAAGAATAAGTTCAAAATATTTATAGGATAAATTCATAAAATATTATACATGAATATCTATTTATTCGATTGTTTTAAAATATTTGATGAAATATTAGTTTCTTAAAAAAAATAAATTTATTAATCTTAAATTATTTGTTGAGAGATGGTAAAAAGAAGAATGAATATGTAAGCGCGGGAACATAAATATAGCAAAAAAAAAAATATTAATTCAAGAAATTTTTATGCAATAACTTGTGACATGTACAATCACTATGTATTATCAATGTCTTTGAAATATTGTGAAAGATAGTGAATTTCTACAATCTTCGATAAATTTGAATACCTACGCATGCATACTAGTGTGATTCAATTTTTCTTCCAAGAAATATTCTTTATATTTTGTCATACAATGTGTACCATTCTCGTAGAATTCACAACTTCACTGAAAATAATATACGTATAAATATTCCTCAATATATCACACTTTCTCCATCACATAACTTATTTTAATTCTACTCATGACAAGCTCATTATTCGCTTTCACAATGTCAAATAAACTTTAAATGACGAAAAATCAAGAAACAATTCAAACTGCACACGTATCATCCACCAAATATCACGCTTCAAAAATCCACTCATTCTATACCCTAATACAACTAATTCAACATACAGTATCGATAGTAATCGAATACTGAATAAAATCGAAAATTCTATCGATGCGATTCTATCACCATGATTCGTTTATCGATGATTTTGCGATAAATGATATACATCCATATCTATGATCAATAAACATCGATTACTCGATTCAAAATTTTGTTTCATAGAAAAACTGATCACATAAACAAAAATAACACAATAGACCGCCCGATTTACAAACAAAAGACCATCCACCTTCGACGGTCGGCGGCGTACTAATAACGGATAGCTACGGACCGCGGTGAGTCTGCCTTACCGGCGCAAGCGTCTCTTCGAAGGAAGCGCAGATCACTAATACTAATACAACGCCATCACGGGGATAGTACAGAACACAAACATACATCGATTGTATAGATACCTGTTGAATGCTGGGAGTCACTGACACGTTGGCGGTCAATTAAATCGAAAAGACGATGAAACTGGTATGAAGTATTAATAATCCTTTATGATCTGACGATTTTTTAAATCGATTTTACTCTTTTATTAAAACTTCTCGTCGATTTTTCGAAATAATTTATAGAATATTTAAATAATGATATGGAGAAAATACAAACAATAAACAATGTGTTAAAAAAGAAAAATTATAAAAATCATTTATAAAAAAAAGAAAGAATACTTAAAATTGATATATTTTAATTATGATCAAAAATAAATACTTATAAGAAGTAAACATTTATTTATAATCGTGTTTTCTAAAATTTTTCTAAAATTTTAAGGATCAAATAAGAATAAAATAACGGAGAACTTATAAAATTGAAGCTAAATATAAATATTTGTATTTTATTTGTATTTTATTTATTCTCATTATTCTCATATATTTTATTTCAAAGCTCTTAGTATTTATATTAATGACAAATGTTTTATATCTCCAATCTAAAACAGATTTATAATTGTTTCTCTGATATATATGATGAATATGACTTTTGGTAAATAAAAATAATTTGGGATCTTTAAGGATTTAATAAAAATTAAAAGATATTTTTTTTCATTATAATGATTTATTTATTATAAAATTATGCTTCCAACAAATTGTAAAGGAATATATGCATGCATGGAATCGAATCGACCGGACAAGCGATCATTAAAAAAATTTTGTAATTGATTGAACATTGATACACAGTTCTGTATATGTCCCATCCATTCTGTACACGTAGATTTATATCTCTAAGTTCGAAGCAAGTCACTGTACATATGAATATTTTCTTTATTACCATTTTTTGCTTTTATTTTTTATTGAATAACTCTTAAATTCGTAAAACTTTATGTAAGGAAGAATAAAGATATTTTTAGAGATTCAAAAGCTGCCTAATAATAATTTCTCCTTTTCTATTGGGATATCCTTGCTCTTCCTTACATAAAACATTAAATCGTTTATCGCATATGTTTATCTTTCTACCTACAAAATACTCGATTGTTGGCTGACTTTCTTATCATAAAAAACGTATAAAACATTGCTGAAAATGAATCTTTAAACTCACTCGAGGTAACCCATACAGAGTTACAGAGAACAACCTACATCGAATGAAATCAAATTTCATTTTCTTTTTTCTTTCATTTTCTTCGTTTTTTTTTTTTGTTTTTTTTTTGTTTTTTTTTTTTTTTTTTTGTTTATATCATTAAGCTTGGCGCAATACGAAAGCGGAAGTCAGAAAAAGTCGATAATACTCAACCAACGATGAGCCAGTAACAGTCTTCTGAAAATTTAAGCACAAGAAACTCGAATGGTCTTCTGATCTACAATGAAATCTGTAAATTTTAAAGATGTATCTTAAATGATATAAGTGAAAGAATAGATGCAATAAGAGACGGAACTTGAAAACATGCATTATCGGAGAGACATTTCTCTCAAACATTATTATCTACTTTTTTCTTTTTTTTTCTTTTTTTTTCCTTTTTTTTTTCCCTTTTTTTTTTTTTTTTTTTTTTTAGATTGACTTCAACGATTGAAAAATACAATGTAATCCCGATAATCCATATTAGTCCATACAGGTACAAAGATATGAAATTAAAGAAAAAAATAAAAACTATACCCACAATTGCATCAATAAATGCAATTTAATTACTAATTTTTTAATTAGGTATATTACTGAAAAATGTAAACCTATTTCATGATGAAAAGTTTTACTAAAAATATTTTTATTATTAAATATATGTTGCGTAAAATACAGTGTTTTTAATAAAATCGATGATCCAAACAAATTCGCTCGAATTTACGAGGTTCATCGAGATTACACTGCACTTGATAATAAAAATCGACAAGAATACTCATATTGTTTAATGGTTTCCATAACAAAAACAGCCATTCTCCTTCTGAAGGGATGATTAAATAGTAAATAATTCTTTTTTCTTTTATATTTATCTCATTTGGTTTTAATTTTCGTTTAATAATAAGTGCTAACCGTATCTTTCAACAAGTTCATCCCTTACAATGTTTAAACATAACAGTCTGCCAGCAGCGCAAAGACAAAAGATATTTCGCTTGGATCGCTCTTTTTGTCTCATTAAATTTCATTATTTATGTAGAAATGGAATCTCCATAAACTCCGATAAACAGGAGTAACATGAGGAAATAGCGAAAACGCCTAAGTAAAATTGATGAGGGCACATTTGATCAACCAACAGGTGTCACACACATTTAATTCCCGCTCGCGCTCCAATTCTTTCAATTTCTTCTCGACTCTTAAACTTTTTAAATCCTTCATTTTTTTTTTTTTTTCTTTGTTTTTCTTTGCCAGCAAAAAACTAGTATACAATGTTGCTCTTTTTTTTTTTTTTTTCTTTTGAACCATGAAACTGACAGTGCAATAACACAACATTTCTGTAAGCGTTCTTGAAAAAATTCGTAATGCGATTACACCATTTTGGTAACGTCACATATAACTCGTTGCTTATTATTTCTTTTTTCTTTTTTTTTTTTTTTCCTTTTGTTTAACGATTCTTAATTATAGGCCTCTGGCAGAGGCGATTCTTGCGAATGCGTTCCACAGGCATCTAGGCACGACAGATATAAAAGTAGTACGTTCAGGAATATTTAGATTTATAACAATCCATATTCTAAAATAGTGCTATCACGTTCATCTAAACTCTAAAACGACTTTTCATTTCTTTTTGCAATTTTTTCTTTTATTTTTTTCTTTTTTTTTTTT